CCAGACCTACAGAGTCGACGAGTCCTCTGTCACTCTCGTGGGTTCATTGTTCATGACAGGGTAGCTGAATTGAAGTAAGGACTTTTGCAGCTTTCCGCCCAAAACAGAGAAGATGATGTCTCCTTGATGTTTAGAAAAATCCGAAGATAAAGACATTTTTGTATTTCCACCATAGTTTATCAAGGGTCTGATGGAAAAGGTTCGAAGAAGTCGTAAATCTCCTGGGGGCCACACGATTTGAGGACGTTAACGCTAGTCTTTTCATTTCAGGGATACATCTCAGGTATTGCTTGACCTATAACTAAAAGCTTTACAAAATGCCCTTTGGACTAAGTAATGCTCCGTAATCATTTCAGCGATTAGTTTCGGTATTTCTGCCTCACCTTTTGACATTAAAAGTTGGTGAAAGGTTAAAGAATATTGCCGAGAAATGGAATCAAAATGTACTAAAGTTAACTTTTGTAACACAGAAACGTGTAAAATCTACCACTGTATAACAAAAATGTGCATTATTACTACAGCTGCAGTGTCTTGCCCCTATTTGAATGACGCCTTGGATACTAAGGAATTCGTCATTCATTTGTCGCATGCTGCAGAAAGGATCCAAATATTTTTCTTTTTGAAGGAAGGTAAAGTTGTATTCTTCGTAGTAAATGGGTATTACGTTCCATTTCGAGAAAGTTCCCGCAAAAGTTAGAAAAATAATGATTAACGGCGATAAGATTTAGAGAAACCAGGGCTAAAACACCAAACACCGTAAGGTTTAAAAATGCGATTCAAATATCCACAACGTGCACAAAGAAAAAAGTTTTGTTGAAAGAAGCTTTAATTGCGCATGCATGGCGTAAATGAAAGCAAAATCAACATCAACAAAGTGTTATTAAGTATGGTATAGAAAATGAAAGTTTTCTTTTCGACATTGACCGACGGTTCGCATGGTTAAGTTGTCCTTTGTCAAGCGATCAATGTAACTTGAACTTCTGAGTAAACGAAGGGGATGATTAACTACATGGACGTTACTAAGCTATGACCATGTAGAAATTTTATTTCTAAGGACAGGTTTCAGGTAACCAACGTCTACATGAAGGTTTTTAAACATTCCCAGAAATGGCCTTGAACAGCGTGACCCCACGGATAGTAAAGAACTGTTTTTGCCCAACCGACCGACCCACTTTGAAGGAACAAAGAGCGCTGGGAAACGAAATCCTTTATCGGCATGGCGTAGCTACTGGGCCTCAACTACGTTTTCTTGTTCGGGGTGTTGCAAGGAGACAGAAAAGTAAGAGAGAAATTACTGTTATACAAACAAGAAAAATGAAACTGTTGGTTTTAAAAACTGACTTTAACGTTTTATACCTTTCGGTAGTCACACAACCCCGGAATTTCTAAGATGGTTTGCATTCGAAAAATGTTTCACAAGTTGTTCTGGAGGCTGGAAGTGCTAGAAAAAAAGTTGAATTCCTTAAATGTGCTTCAACTTAATCTTAAGCATGGGGATATAGCCAGCAAATACATGCGTTTCTCCTTGTTCTCGCCGCAAAAGACGTTTCCCGGGGGAGACGTTTGCGGTTCGGCCGGGAAACGTCACTAGTGGCGTTAGGTTATATGGGAATATTGCCATTATAATAGTAATGAAAACCATGAAAAATATCTACGTACTATGCTAACGTAAAGAGGAACTAAGAGGAGTCCCTCATCAGAATAGAGGGCTGTGTTACAGATGTAAATCTCGAGAAATTGAATTATTTTTGAAGCAGTTTAAACGATAAGAACAGCAAAAGGAGCATACGAAAAGATAGTCTTTAAGCTTTATTTGCCCTTCCAAACCGTCTCCTCCCCATTCTCCAAACGGCTTCGCAGTTCCTCTGCCAAAACTTTGCTCGCGCGAAAGATCCCGCCGGCTACGCAGTCAGTCATAACAGTATAAACAAAAACGTAAAATCAGTAATCCGTTTACAAGTTATAGATCAGCAACGGCGGTGAGAAGCTCAAACATCGCATACAAATAAAGTTATGAAACTGCTTCACACACCGAAGCCAACTCAATGACTATATTTTAATGCTTGCTTTTCAAAATGATATCTTGTATTTTTCTAGCATTCCATCTATTAAAACAACGTTATAAATTATCTGTATTTTTGATATGTATAGGAACATGTTCTAACATTCGTACTATGGTTTCATAACTTGATAAATAGACCACATAGGCTTCATATGGACAGATTCGTCTGCCCTGACCATTTCACTCACCATTTCATTTTCAGATAAAATTTCAAATAATAATATCGTCTTATATGTTTGCCGTTAAATTTTCTAATATTCTGTTATTTAGAGAGGCATTAGTTGATCATGTGATCAACATTTGGTAAACACGAAAACAGATTGCTTTTGAAAAAATTAATTTTGTTAGCTTGAGCTGAAAGAGCATATTAAAATTAGGTAAACTGTAACTTTTCAGCCATATATTTCAAAACTAGCGATTACAATGGCCGTCGAAAATTAGAAGGATTTATACGAGAAAAACAACTTTTGCCACCTAGTCTCGTTTTAAAGGTTTTCCATACAAATCCTTGTAAATCAATCCTTTTAACTCATAACAGGCACTTTGAGCCCTTAAAAGCGTAAGGGAAAGATTTAACGACAGTTTAAAAATTTCAGAATTCACAAGGAGTTGAGTGGAAAACCATTTAAGCATGACTGGGTGGCAAGAGTTGTTTTTCTCATACAATACCTTCTAATTTTAAGTGGCCATTACAATCGCTACTTTTGAGATATACGGCTGACAATTTACTTGCAACCTAATTTAAATATTAAGCTCTTTCAGATCATGCTAACTAAATTTTTTAAAAGCAAACTGTTTTTGTGTTTACCAAAAGTTGATCATGTGTTCGACTAATGCAAAAGGCCTATTGCAGTAAGTTAACATGGTAATAGCTCAACCCATTAAATGAATCAGCTCTTATAAATTGTTTTCAGTATCCTTTTTGGGTAGGATCATGCGTTAACAGTTAGTTGAATAAGCTTAATTGTACAGAAGGGTTCTCTGAAATATAATGTTGTTCAAATATTAACTATGTTAACCAGTATTCAATGATCTGAGAATAGAGGTCATAAATTATAATGATTTATTTTTGACAGGAAATCAGGTGAGCTTGAGGGACAAGAAAAAGGACCAGAAAATGATGTCATGAATATCTGTTTCTAAATTCTGTGCTCTAGTTTCACATGATATGCACCAATCAGGAAATTCATAAGGAAAATCACACATCCCTTGTTATGAAAATGGTAAATAAGGCACCACCCTGCTGTACCCAATAACGCCTCACCCAGCTAATTTGGGCTCAAAAAGGCATCACACTGATAACTTGGCATCCATTGCACATCATGGAAACCCTTTTTGCCACCCTGTATATTGTGTTCTTTATTTTGGTCAATTTTAAGGAGCAAAATTACATGTAGAATCAGATTGATCATTTGCTCGTACTTTTCATATTGTTACTGCAAAGTCAAACTGCCAGATCTTTTCATTACACCTCATGAAAAGTGGTCCTGTCTTCTTTAATTTATCCTGCTACAGGTTCAAGTCATGAATTTCTTTTGTTTACCATATTATATTATTATCTCTTTGACTCACATCTCAGTTAATATATTGTGGCATATATAAAGACTTGAACTAAAAATACTCTGTAGAATAATTAATTTTACAACAAAGTTAAGTCTACAAAAAAAAAGTTAGGTTCAATACAACGAGAACTGTAGTTGGTTTCAATTTAAGATAGTAGAATAATAAATTATTAATTAATAATAAGGAATTGGGCGACTCTAATTCTTACCAAATGCCACTGACTAGGAAAATATTGATCTTTAAACTGAAGGCTTCGCTTGTGACGCATCCGTACAACTTCCTGCCTTGACCACTCAATTTTAGGATGATTTGCTAAATGTTGCGTTATAATATCTTGCATTTTACCAAGTTCTTTTATCCCGCTTTGATTGAAGAAAGTATTATGTATGAGCAGGTAGTGTCCTACAAGACCACCTATTTGGCCGCGGTTTACGAGGCCCGCCTCGTTTGCGATATGATCTGCTATTAAATCAAGCTTTGTTATGTTCAAATAATGTTCCACAGGTATTCGGATAGCCCATGATGGTGAGAAACTTGAAGAGTTCAGTCTTGTTTTACCGAGAAATCCTTCGCTGTATCTTAACCAGCCAAATGTGAACAAGACAAAAACATACCGGTAGAAAAACATCAAAAGCCGCCATTCCGCCAGCTTAATGAGCATAACAAGTCACTAAGAAACTAGATGAGAGATTCCCTCGCATTTCAACGATGACAGCCTAGAAAACGAAGGAAAAATGTATCAGCATGCGGCGATTCCCCTGTTCTTTTTCCGCCATGTCTTCACGTTCAGGTAACCAAGCCTCCCTTTGTTTGAGAGAAACCGGAAGTCATCCAAAGAATCTCAAAACAGTTTGTCCTCACAGACTTCTGGGTAACTTCAAATATGGCGGACGTTTGCGGATGATGATATGGGATGAGGCAATTTTTTCGTCGATTTTCTTCGTACATAGCGATGAGTTCCTACGAAGTAAAGCACAATGTGAAAGGACGTGAATTTTTTATAGCCCTAGATAAAGGTTTGTCCATCTGTTCTCTTTTACGGTGACAGGTTCACCGGCATATGCGTTTTTTTTAGTTAATTTGCTCGTTTGCTCGTAACCAGCGGCCCTTATTAAAAGGTGTCTTATGTTTGCCGTGTTTACATTTAAGATCGAGGTTTTAATAGTTTTGAAACTGATACAAAAAAATCATGTATCGGTGAAATCAAAGCTCGAATCAGCAATCTCCTCTCTAGCCAAAAAGCAGCATCATGTAACAAGTAAAGGATTACACAAGCTTTTCTCTGTCTGCAGACTCGCATTCAGGAGCACAAGAAAGCTACATCAAAATTGTTAAAAGAGTAATATGGCCCCTTCCTTGATTTTCTTGAGGTGGTGGTGGGGGAAAGGGTAGGGAGTGGGGTGTGGGCATTTGATTATGAGCATCCTGATGGAAGCCTTCCACTAGCTTTTAAGTCAAACTTATGTCTTTAAGCAAGGCATACCTCTAAGAAAAAATAAAGGGAGCCCAGTGCTCTGAACATGTGAAATCCAGGATCCCCAGTATATGATTTCTATGGGAAAACGAAGATTTTCTAGTTGCTTGGGAGCAAAAGTTAGATACCAGGGGCCACCAGGCACTGCTAAAGCACAGCTTTGTTTTAAGTGGTCGCAAATTCAACATTTCTTTTGCCTTTACAAACATTCTCCCACACCCTCTAAAGTCTTATGTGAAATGCACATGAGGAATTAGTGCATTTCATTGAGAAATGGTGCCGAGCGAAAAGCGTCAGCCGTAAAATTGGGGTGGGGGTTCCATGACTATTTGCGTACTCATGAAGGATGCTGATGCATGTTGCGTCCTTTGTCTCTCTGAATGCAGTGTTAGCTTATTGTTTCCATGATTCAAAGATAATTTAACTAAAGCGAATCAATACCTTGTCTTCTGACAAGATGACTTATTAGGAACTGCAGTTACTCAAAATGTAAATTATTTTGACTTTATAAAATATTTTAAGGATTTAAGCCATTGGAATGTATAAAATGTAAGAGAGGAACGACTTTTCTATTTTTTTTGTTTCATTTTATTTAATTTGTATGAAAGCATCATTCTTTCATGTGAATTTTTTTGGCATTCAGAAGGAAAAAAACTTCAAAGAAATGTTTCATTTACAATCACTGCAATAAGTATCTATTTTGCTTCACTCACACTTAGACGCAAATCACCCTTCATTCGGCAGATTTTGCTGGAGGCAAAAATGTCCCATTGGTTTCTCAGATCCTTGCCTTTTTGGGTTCCCTTGACTACCAAGATTTTTTAAGCTTTGGACTGCTGTTTACTCCAAGTCAAGTCAAGTATTGGTGAACTTTATTAAGGCAGGGTAGGCCTATCAGCCATTGGCTGGTATCAAAAGGGGCCCTGCGTAAATAATAGTCTACGATTAGTCCCCATTTTTCCTCAGGGATAGTAGAGCGAGCGAAACGCGAGCCCACGTGAAAATCACCGCATGCGAGAGAAGGTGACACGCAGTGGGGAGAGAGAAAATACTCGTAGTCTTCGTAAATAATGACTGCACGATAAAAATTTAAAAATTACAAATTACTTTTAATAATATACAAAGATGTTAAAAAATGAGTAAAAGGGAAATTACGTATCTTTATAAAGATCACAATTTGTTTAAGATTATGACAAATAAGGGGGCTATTGTAAGTTAGCTAAGTATTATACTAATGATGCATAATTACATTCTATGCTTAGAGTTATGCGAAATGCTGTGACCAAAAAAAGTCATGCAGCAAGCTTCCGCATAACTTGATCTTTTTGGTTTCTTTTGTTCTTCTGTTTGTCTCCAAAACAATCAAGATGTTTCATCAATGTCAACCTACAAATAATAGGAGACATTTGATTGACAGAAAACTTTGCTTTTAGTATTGATATGTTTCAATAGGCACAATTCTGTGATGGCTATGAATTTCCCGAGGGAATATCAAAGCAACCTGAAGTTGAATATATTACTAGACAGTGGAAAGACAGTAGAGTAGTCCTTCAGGAGTTGTAACTTCATGTTGCAAAAAGCAATGACATTCTGCACGTGGCAAAATGCTCTGCTAAATTTCCTTTCATCACTTATGCAGTTTGGTATTTAAATGTGGAGAAGAAAGCTCATTTATACTCTAAAGAACTCCCGAGACAGATCTCTGACCATTTTCACCATAAGTTAAGTTGGTACTGACAATATAATGTTAATGTTGTAAATGATAATTGTGCATTTTTTATCTTAGGAAAGGCTGTATTGTTGTATGAAAATGAAGGACACAATACCATAAATATGTATCACACCCAAGTACCAACTGAATTGAGAGGACAGGGAATTGCTGGACAGTTGGCTAAAGTAAGTGGTGTTCTAAAGCTCCAGGCTGTAATTGTAGAAGCCTTGCGACAGACTCCTTTTATTCAGAGGAGTTTTGAAATAGTTTTATAGATTATGGTGAAGTTATTTTTCCATTCTCATTTCTGAGGGAAAAGCAGACAGTATGACATTTTTCCACCTTTAAAAACATTTGCCAGCCACTTTCTGTTACGGAAAATTGTCTTGCGAGAGTAGTGTGACATTGTAGAAGCTTCTTGAAAGTTCATAGTTTGTTTATTTTAGTACCTTGTATAAGCATTTCTAAAGCAGTATATTTTGTAATCTTTCTATAATTGGACTATTTGCAAAGTTCTAATTTTATTGTGAAAGTATATAAGTAGACGAGTCCAAGCGAGGTTTTAACTAGTTTTCANCATTCTCATTTCTGAGGGAAAAGCAGACAGTATGACATTTTTCCACCTTTAAAAACATTTGCCAGCCACTTTCTGTTACGGAAAATTGTCTTGCGAGAGTAGTGTGACATTGTAGAAGCTTCTTGAAAGTTCATAGTTTGTTTATTTTAGTACCTTGTATAAGCATTTCTAAAGCAGTATATTTTGTAATCTTTCTATAATTGGACTATTTGCAAAGTTCTAATTTTATTGTGAAAGTATATAAGTAGACGAGTCCAAGTGAAGTTTTAACTAGTTTTCACAAGCGAAAAGAGTTAAACGTTGGTCGTGTTTAGTAAAGTGTGGCCGAAACAGTGTTTATTCAAGTTGGCGGAGACCGTGTAAGGTTCTCAAGTTACGTGCAGTTGTAGAGTTGTACTTGTTGGAAACTACATTCCTATTTGGCAGGAATAAATTTTCTTGTTGCTGTTCCGACACCCTGCGTTCAGTTTAGTTTGCAAGCTACCCCTCCTCTTAAAGATAACTCACGTAACACTTTCCCATTTACTTAAGGCTTATACTAATAACATCAACATTATTATTTTGCTTTAGGCAGCTCTGGATTATGCTGTAAATGAAGATGCCAAGGTCAAATTGACATGTACATATTTGCAGAAATACGTGAATGACCATCCTTCTCCAGACTACACATCTCGCGTTGTAGCACCTTAACATACGTGTATAATTTAACTTTGGAGATACAACTTTGGATGAACTGTTAAAAATGGAAAAATGTTCCTTGCTTTAAGACTTTAATTTGCGTACTACTTTGTACAGGCTTGATATAAATTTAATATGTTGCTGAACTGTTAGCACCCTTCAAATTTGTTTGTTGGCATTTGAACCTTTGGTCGGCTCACATGACCATTCTGAACACCAGATTTGGCCATACATTTGCCTTTCCCTCTCGTTTAGGAAGCCAAAAACCACCGTTTGTGGTTCAATGATCATGTATGCTTGAGGAAGAACTTTTCAGCGCATGGCTTTCAACAACAGCAGCAACATCTTTCCCTGAAACACGATAATTTTACAGCGTAGCTGATGTAGTCGTGTATAATATGACTCAAACTGAATAAATAGGAGTAACGAAAAGAGACTAAAACATTTACCCAGCTGACTTGGGAAGAAATAATTTACATTACAGGTTTCTATCTACAGTTTTCAGTTTACAATGTGTCAATTTTTCTTTTTTATTCACAGTATCTAAGTACTATTTACAATAATTACATCTAGGTTAACCTTTGCTTTGCCCTGATCTCAACTCTCTACCACAGGCTCAGTAGTAGAAACTGTTCCAGGTTGAATAGGAAGGAAATTCATGGATCTTATCCAACTCAACACCTAAGCATCTGGGAGATGCAACTTACTTTACGGTATTACTGTAAAATTCCGAAAATAAGCCCTGGGGCTTATATTTTTCAAAGGCCCTTTTTGAGGGGCTTATCTACAGAGGGAAATTTGCATTTCAAAATCAATTGGGCAAGCCTTATAGTTAGAAGTAAGGTTACCGTTTTTGCTTTTTTCTTTGCATTTGAGGGCAATTTTCCAAGCACAAGACATTTGGAGGGGTGATTTAACGAAGGGTTTTTGCGTTACCGGTTTAGGGGGCTTATATTTGGAGGGGCTTATACATAGAGGGGCTTATTTTCGGAATTTTACAGTACCTCCAAGTTTCTGCAGAACCAATCATACAACTTTTCCAGGATAGTGTTTAGCTTCTCTGCTTCCTTGTCAAGCGAGGCTGCAGTTGCGTATAAAGTGTCCTCCGCATAAATTTGTAAGACACCTTTACCTTCAGCTATATGAAGAAAAGTGAAAATAGTGTAGGACCCACTACCGATCCTTGAGGAACCCCATACTTCATAAACTTCCTCTCTGATTTGTAGCCATTAACAACTGTTGCCTGAGAACGGTATGTCATGTAGTCTCTAATCCATGACCATAGACCTTGTACCTTTTGTAAGAGGAGAGAGTGAGATACGGTATCAAAGGCCTTCTGAAAGTCTTCAAATACCACACCTACTAAGAGACTGTTATCAAGTGCTTGCCTCCAATCTTCAGTCATCCTGATTAGCAGACGTTCAGTTGAATGGCCTTTCTTGTACGCCCATTGATTGATTGCTCGGGTCATTTTGACGAATATGTGATGTAACTGTAGCGGCGATACAAGACCCCATGATCTTACCACGCACACAGAGAAGTGAGATGGGGCGGTAATTCAGTTTATCTGTTTCATCATTGCTCTTGTATAATGAGAAGACGTTAGGATTATAGGAACGGTTCTTGGATGACGCGCTTGAGGTAAAGACTGACAGTAGAGATGGGACGAGAGCGTTTCCTGCCAGCTTAAGCAACCTGGGACCGGTGTGACTCCATCGGGACCACTCGCCATGTCGGGTTGCAGTTTCTACAATGCTTTTTGGATGATGTCTGGTGTTATCTCCATGTGCATGATAGTGGGTGTTACTATAGTGGCGTACGTTTTCAGGTCTACATTGAAGATGGTTAGTTCCCTTGCAAGCTTTTAGCCAGTGGTGGAAAAGTGTTCATTTAGGATGTCTGGTTTCCCTCGGTCAGATGTTACCAGAACTCCCTCACGATTCCTGATGGCCATTAAAGGAGTCCAGGGGTTGTAACAGGTTGCTTTTTTAATAAGCTTCCAATAAGATTTAAAGTCCTTGACTTGGTCAAACAGATAAGAGTAGTATGAGCACTTCGCTCTTCTGACTTCCTCTGTCACCCAATTTCTCAATCCTCGATATTGGGCCCAGAGTTCATCATTCTTGGTCTCCTGTGCTTTCAACAGGGTTTTATACCGCAGATTCATCAGCTGGCGTATCTGAGGCGTGACCCAGGAAAGGGACTGGCTTCTTATCTTCACTTATCTTCTAGGTGCGTGCCTGTCAGAGTCTCAATGTATTTGAATACGGTCACCCATGCCCAATAACTGTCATCAGGATCATCAAAAACAGAACACACAGACCACGGCGCGTTTTCCATATCACGGATAAATTTTAACTGATTAAACCTTTTTAAGGTGCAACCTTATACAAATTTGGCGGGGGGCGGTCTCCTAAGCTTTGTCTGCAAACAGCCATATATCAGCTTGTGGTCAGAAATACCTAGCTCCAGTTTAATAGTTTTCTTTATCAGCTCCACTTTGCTGGCTATTACCAGACCTACAGAGTCGACGAGTCCTCTGTCACTCTCGTGCGTTCATTGTTCATGACAGGGTAGCTGAATTGAAGTAAGGACTTTTGCCGCTTTCCGCCCAAAACAGAGAAGATGATGTCTCCTTGATGTTTAGAAAAATCCGAAGATAAAGACATTTTTGTATTTCCACCATAGTTTATCAGGGGTCTGATGGAAAAGGTTCGAAGAAGTCGTAAATCTCCTGGGGGCCACACGATTTGAGGACGTTAACGCTAGTCTTTTCATTTCAGGGATACATCTCAGGTATAGCTTGACCTATAACTAAAAGCTTTACAAAATGCCCTTTGGACTAAGTAATGCTCCGTAATCATTTCAGCGATTAGTTTCGGTATTTCTGCCTCACCTTTTGACATTAAAAGTTGGTGAAAGGTTAAAGAATATTGCCGAGAAATGGAATCAAAATGTACTAAAGTTAACTTTTGTAACACAGAAACGTGTAAAATCTACCACTGTATAACAAAAATGTGCATTATTACTACAGCTGCAGTGTCTTGCCCCTATTTGA